CTGGAGGTTTACAAGCAAGAAAGATCCAGGCCAGCTTCAAATTGCAAAGCTAAATTGCAAAGACAAATTGCAAAGCTAAATTATTTAATTTACTGAGTGGGTTCTGTGAAATATTAACACGCATGTCTAATGATGGAGGTTTGGAGAGAAGAGGGAACTTCTTGCAATTGAAGATTTTGGTTGCATTTGGTATCCTCCTCAATGAAAATGGAATAAACCCAACTGCTTCACCACTTCTGTTATTTAATATAAGAATAGAATATAAGAATTGCCATAGCAGACCAGATCAGTGGTCCATCCAGTGAAAATGCTCCAGAGGATAGTGCAAGAAACCTCACAGTGGACAATTATGGAATAATCTGACTATAGAGAAAGTTTCTTCCTAATCACCATTTATTAGTGACTGATTTATGTCCTAAAGTATAAGGGTTTATATCCATTCTCAAAATAAAATGATTTTATCTAATATAACTATGCATGTTCTCATTAACCAAATAAACATCTAATCAGTTTTCAAATCCTACTCTTGGCTTAAATTATATCCTGAAGTCAAGTGGTGTTGCCTGTACTCAGCAATTCTGAATATCCGGTCCTAAGTGTCTCAGGCTGGGACACCCAAAATCAGTGGCCACTTTTGAAAATTTGGCAGCATAGTTTGTAAACCATTTTCAAATGCTGAATGGAAAGCACTCTAGCAGCATAAAATATTCTGTATAATTTTTCATCATTTCAAAAATCATTTTTAACTCACTTTTTATAACAATCCCCTGAAATTCACTTTGCTTTTCCTCTATTGTATAACAGTAGCGGTTTGTTATTGTAGGGTCACCCAAGAGTGTGGTGCTGTGCATGCTAGTTTGTGTTTGTAAGGTTGTTAACAATCGGCGAAGCACACTTGTTTTTATTGCCTTTAACAGTGGCGGATTTAGAGTTAGTGGGGCCCTGTGCACAGCTTCATTTTTGGGGCCCCCCCCTCAGGACCCAGCCAAGAAAAAGAACATTCTCTCTTATCTCCTCCCCATTTTTCATTCTTTTGTTCTTCATCCTCCTCCTATATTATAAGTAATGGGAAGTAAATGCAAATAAAGTGAGGTACCTTGATTGGGGCAGGGGGTTGGGTGTAGGAGGGAGTGCGTGGGCAACCTCTGGGAGGAAGTTTGGGTGCTGGGTGTGGGCTCTGGGCTGGGGCAGGGAGTTTGGGTGTGAGGGGAGAGGTGCAGGCTCTGGGAGGAAGTTTGGTTGAAGGCTCTGGGCTGGGGCAGGGGGTTGGGGTGTGCGAGGGGGTGAGGGGTATGGGCTCTGAGAGGAACTTTGGGTGTGGGGTGCAGGCTCTGGGCTCGGGCAAGGGGGCTGGGGTACAGGGTGGGAAAGGGGGGTGGTGCTTACCTCGGGCGCCACGGCTCCCAAAGCAACCAGCACCTCCCCCCGGCCCCCCCAGCAGTGGCTCCTAGGCGGAGGGACCAGGGGTATCTGCGCACCGCTGGCCACAGGCTCTCATTGGCCGCAGTTCCTGGACATTGGGAGCTGCGGAGTTGGCGCTCGGGGAGGGGGCAGTGCACAGAGACATACACTCTCTCCCCCGCCCCAAGCGCCACAGGGACATACTGGCCCCTTCCAGGAGCAAAGCGGCATGGAAGGAAGGAGGCAGAGCAGGTAGGGAACCTCCTTAGCCTTGCTGCTGGCACCTTCTCTGCACGCCCGTTGGGGAAAATGGGGCAGCGGTCTCCCAGCCTGCCAGGGGCGCACAGACACGTGCCAGCAGCCGGCCACTTCCAGGAGCAGTGTGGGGCAACCAGCCACGGCATGCAGGCAGCCTGCTTGCCTGAGCCCTGCTGCGCCACTGGCTGGGACTCATAAGTTGTCAGATATTTGTCCTGCATTTTGGGCCCCCCCTCCCATCTTGTTGGGGTCCCCGTGCCACCACATGGTTTGTTCCATGGTAAATCCGCTCCTGGCCTTTAATGTGGAATGGGTAGTAGATAATTATTATAGAGTTGTTCATGGATGCCAGCACATATAAAGGTAAGCTTGTTCCACATGATAGTGCTAGCTGTTCCATTTTGGGGCCTCCGTTGGTCAGCTGAATTCTGACCTTGTCAAGTATTATCTAGCAACAATTCTTCACTGAGTCCTCCATCCAGCCACACTTCCCTTGTCCTGAGCTAGCTGCTCTTTTGAAGCCAGGTTTCCTACTCTCTCCACATATAGCTTGAGACTGAGAGTCTCAAGGGTTTTGGGCATCCTTTAATAGATTGAGCTAAAGGGTTGAAGACAGCAGGCAGTGCAGTCACAGCGGTAATAGGAACAACTGATCAGTCACTTGAGCATGCAGTGATACATGGCCAGAGGGGGATGAGGAGAAAATGCATTACAGGGAGACAGATCAAATCTCTATCCAAGAGGGAACAAGGACAAATGGAAGAGGTTTCTACTCCCTATCTTCTCCCAGAAGATGAGAAGAGGGGGCGGATAGTGAATAGGCCAACAACAACAGCTGTCCTGCAGGCTGACAGCACCTCTGCAACTGGGTGAATACTGAAGGACACCCCCCACCCCCGTGCACTTTCGAGTCAAATATTACACCAGTGGTCCACAACATGTTGGATAAAGATTGCCAGGGAAATGAGACATTAAATACCACTGTACTTTCCAATAGTTCTTTCAAGAGAACTCAACCCTCTTCATGACCCCCCCAAAATTCAGCACTGCAGAGACATTCCCTGGCTGAAGGGGGGCTAAATGAAAATTTGAAAAGGGTTTGTTGGCATATGAGTCACTGAATGCAGGGGCTAAAAAAAATAATTGACGTTTCATTTATTTGCTGCAATCATAACAAAGTGGAAATGAAATTATTTCCTTAAACCATTTCAATTTTAAGTGGCCAAATAAATCAACTAAATTAATTAGAGACTGGTTTAGGGGAACAAGATAAATGTCAGATGGCTAAATCCTGACAAGGATTCTCTGCAAAATAAATCAAACTGCCCTGGCAGATTGAGCAATATAGTTGGCAGAAATGCATCCACAGTAGTACATAGTAGTGTAGCACTGGTTTGTCCATATGATAATATCAAGTTGTGATCTGCAAAAAACAGGAAGGCAGGAATAAGATTAAACTGAAAAGAGTGCTAGCAGTAGGTGGACTTCTACAATAAATGATCTGAATGGGAAAAGATCCAGTTCTCCTGGTCATGCAGTTAAATTCTCTCAAACTTACATATTTGTTCTTTTTCTACCTTGCCTCTACACTTATAATAAATTGGAGGCCACCTAGGACCTGACTATTGTCACTATGCAGCACACTATTGAGACAGACACGCTGACATACATGGTCTATTTGTATTGTGGTAGCACCTAGGACAGTGGTTCCCAAACTGGTTCCGCCGCTTGTGCAGGGAAAGTTCCTGGCGGGCCGGGCCGGTTTGTTTACCTGCCGCGTCCGCAGGTTCTGCCGATCGCTGCTCCCAGTGGCCGCGGTTTGCTGCTCCAGGCCAATGGGGGCTGCTGGAAGCAGCAGCCAGTACGTCCCGCGGCCTGCGCCGCTTCCAGCAGCTCCCATTGGCCTGGAGCAGCAAACTACGACCAGCGGGAGCCGCGATCGGCCGAACCTGCGGACACAGCAGGTAAACAAACCGGCCCGGCCTGCCAGGGGCTTTCCCTGCACAAGCAGCGGAACAAGTTTGGGAATCACTGACCTAGGAGATTCAGTCATGAATCAGGCATTGTACAAAAACCTAAGAGATGGACTCTGCCCCAAGGAGCTTAGTATTACTCCAAACTCACCCTCAGTAATATGATCAGCAGTCACTTGGACTTACTTTAAAAAACAAGAAAAACTTGTATGTTTTTTATTTGAAAAAAATGCTGTTTGTGTTTAACTTGCATTGAGTTGGAAGACTGGGGCCAGGATCTCATCCCCCGTAAATGAACAATGAATTGACTAGAGAGGTTAGCATGCAGGACTATTGTACTGTGAAAAAAAGTTTAAAATCTAGTTCTGTAAATCCGACAAATACTCAATAAAGCAATGTATTGTCTTCATAAAAATGTAAAAACCTGCTATAATGCTGAATATTGAAAGAAACTCGCCACTCTCATCCATCTCTGAACTGCTTTAATCACCGAGGTGACTAACGGTAGCAGGATTCTCACATGGCTCTGATGGAGGTTTACCATCTCCCTACCTCTAACTACTATTGTGGCGGACACTATCACTAGGAAGGAATTTAGCCTTCCTGTTTGTCTGATGGGGGCAGGATATTCATTTAAGATTTTTTTTAATGATATGGATAATCCTAAACTGTTGCCCCTCAGATTGGCAGCTTCTTCTCAGACTTGACTATTAGCATGTCTTCAAAGCCTATCTTTTTGTAATGCTTAGCACCAGCACCGCACTTTTAACTCTACATCTCCAAACGCTACATATAAGTGGGTTTCCATATCCATGCTTTGCTGATAGGGACACTGAGTCACAGAAGAATTAAGAGCTTAATTTGCACAACAGCTGGGGGTGCCCAAAACTTCTGAAAATCTGGCTCCGAAAAGGAAAGACTGCCACTGATTTCAACAGGCTTTCTAATCAGGCCGCAAAATAACTTATTGGATCCCCTTGGACAAGTCTACAGCAGACCTAGGGCGACAGCCTGGGGTCTTCTGACTCTCAGCTCATGTCCGAGCTCGGAGGGGCCCGGCCCGGAGCGCGGCTCGGCGAGGAAGTATCCCTCGGGAACCAGCTCTATCTCCTGCCGATCTGCTCGATTAGACCCCAAAGCCACGTCTGCCGTGAGCCCTACCACGCCAAGACGAGCCGGCCGGGCAGGCTCAGTAGGAAACACCCCTCAAGCCTGGTGGGCCGCCTAGTTCCCATAGCAACAGTCCACCGCCGAGTACTGCGCATGAGCGAGCAACTAGGCGCCTGCGTCGCACGCACTCACGTCAAGACCTCGGAGAAGAAGAGGGAGGCCGACCCGGAAGTGCTTGGCAGCGCTTGACTTCCCGGAACCGGAAGTAGCGTTGCAGGCGTGCGTGGTAGTGCCTGTTGGCGCCGGTAACTAAGACGTGCGGTGCCTGGAGACCGGTGTCTGTGTATCCCCCTCCAGCTTTGGGGCGGCCAGAGCTGCGTCCCCTGGGAGCTTAGGAGCGGGTTGGGGGTGAGCGGCCGTAGGGAAAGTGGAGAGCCCCCAGGAGACTCGGCGAAGCCGTGTCCACCCCGGCCTCTGAGGTGAAGTCTCTGCTAGGGGCCACCCGCCAGCCCGCGCTGCCCTGAGCCCCGTGGGGTGGGAAAGGCGGGAGCGCGTCCCGCCCCCTCCCCAACTAGCGCGGTAGGTGGGTGGGTTCGCTGTGGCAAAGCGGGAGCTAGGTGGCGGGGAGATCCCCCAGCTGCTCGGGCAGCATTGCCCTCAACAAGCTGCTTCAAAGAGCGCTGGCTAGTGGTAGGAGTGTTCCCCTTGCATGGTGAAGGCTCAAAATACATAGGGTTTGACATCTCGGTGACCTGGCTTGATCCACACTGGTCTTTATTCAGCGCCTCCTCGCTCAGATGAATAGCATTAAAAGTTGACTCCTGTATGCCATGCTTAGGCCATGTTTTTCTTTGCAGAAGTGCTACTGCCACTACCTTACAATCCCTCGGTACATAATAGACCTGCACGGGGGTCTGAAGTGCTGTAAAAATGTCAGTTATTGAAGAGGCTTCTGCCACGTTAGCTGAAGTGAACCTAGATGACACCCCTAAACCTTTAACTGAAAACTTAGAAAGTGATCCCAGCTCAAGCCTGAAAGATATCGTGGTCACGATTGGAGCTACTGTACCAACTGGCTTTGAGTTGACAGCAGCAGATGAAGTGAAAGAGAAATTAGGATCACAGTCCAGAATAAGCAAGGACCGAGGGAAAATCTATTTTGAAATTTCAGTAGAGAAACTTTCACAGGTTTGCATGTTTTGTTCCTTGGGTCATTTTTCTAGTTTAGGAGTTTATTAGTATTCCTTTCTTTCTCTTTTATCCTGGGCTTGACCTTCTGTCCCCCCTAAAATACACATTTCTCCTTTAATGTACAGAACAGTTCTAAATGATCAATTAGTGATTTTCTATATATGGATTGAGTATTATGAATGTTAAACATTGAGTGTTCATTCTTCAGAAGTAGTGCTGGGTTCATTTCTAATGTTATGATCCTGTTAAGTTAATGATATATAATGCTTTTTATCCTGAAGGACTAATTCTGTGCGTTCAGCAACTATTTCACCTGCAGCTGAAATACAGCCACCCCTGGACTCAAACATGACTGCTATTAAACTGCAAAACTACACAACTTGTAGAATTTTTTAAAGATCTCATAGATATCCTATTCTTTTTATTCCCTTGACCTTTGTGACTAAACATGAAAAGAATTTTTAAAAATATAAATAGTTTAAGTTCCCCCTCATTATCAAAACATTCGAGTATTAAAATCTACCACTTAATATATATTTGAATACAAATTATTTAAAAACCCTTCCCTCCTTTACTTACATTTCAAGAACTAAGTTCAGATTTTTTTCTTTGACAACAGTAAATTAAGTCAGATGCAAATAACCTGAAACTGTGCAAGGAGTTTTTCTCCCCATTCTACCTTATGTCTTTGTGATGATCACAGGTGGTGCTGAAAAGGAGCTATGTGCACACAAACAATAGTAGTGGGAAGGAATTTACAGAAACTAGAAATATTTTTAGTTTTTACAATATTTAAGCATCAAATAAATATTCAGCCTCAAAATAGTTGCACTGCTGTACCTTAAGTCTAGATGTAACCAGACCAAGTTTTAATTACAGACATTTACCTATGGCTAGTAACATTACCATTGTTCATAATTTATTTTAGGTTCATCGTTTAAGATCTGTGGATAATTTATTTGTTGTTGTTCAGGAGTTTACAGATTATGAGTTTAAAGAAACTAAGGTAAGGTATCTCTGTACCCAAATCTTCAGATAGGTGTGATTTTTTTTTTAAATAAATGAAAATAAAAAATAAACATTGAATTCCTCATTTAAAAAAATCGTCATCCAGGAATTTTCTAATGTAAGAGTAGATTTAGAATGATTAGTCTTGGGGGAAGAGATTGTTTTTTATTTTGTGTGCCATACACTTTCCAGGTTCCTCTTAAATGTTTGTTCAAGTGAAAGAACCACCAGGTAGTCTAGCACTATTCCATATTAGTTGCATATTTTGCTCAGGCAAAGTCCAGGATTGGAGTAGATGGGGTGTTGCGGGTCAGATTGAGGTGCATTATCAAAATTGACAGTCCTTTAAATAATGACTTCTTAGTCCTTTAAATAATAATCATATGCATTCCTTATATAGCACTTTTCGTCAGTAAATCTCAAAGTGCTTTACAGAAGGAGGTAAGTATCATTATCCCCTTTTTACAGATGAGGAAACTGAGGCGGGGAGTGGGATATGACTTATCCAAGGTCACCCAGTAGTAAATGAAAGTTGCCTATAAAATTTGCCAAAACACATTATTGAATATTCTGGTGATCCTGTGATCTTTTACAGGAAGATACTCTAAAGGATTTGGAGGACCTGGCTAAAAAACTGCCCTGGATTGACCCTTTGAAAGTATGGAAGCTAAATACCAACCTCAAGAAGAGAAAGACAAAACATAAAAAACAAAATCAACAGAGTAGTGCAAGCAAAGAAAAGCTGAATGATGATGGAGGAAAGGACAGAGCAAATCAAAAAGATGCTGATAAAGAGTTGCTTGACCATGCACAAACTACCCCAGGCTTGAAATCTGCTGAACAGAATGCAGAAGAGACACAGGAAATGATCCTAGCAGATGACCAATCAGATGGCAAAGATGAATTCCTGAATATAACTGGAAATGAAAACCAAGCTGGCGACTGCAAGAAAGGTGAAGCAGAAGATCAGGTGCTGAAATTCCGTGTTACATGCAATAGAGCAGGTGACAAACATAGTTTTACATCGAATGATGCAGCAAGAGACTTTGGTGGAGCTGTGCAAGATTACTTCCAGTGGAAGGCTGACATGACCAACTTTGATGTGGAGGTACAATGCACCAGTATTTTTCAATAATATTCACATATATTTAGACCTATACATGAGTTGCTGCTTTACTTCAGAACCTTCATGTATCTTTGCTTAAGCCAATATGTTTATATGTCACTACCACTCCAGGGGAAAAAGTTGTTTCATAGTAGAAGCAATGACATAATTTTATTCTAAGAAATCAAATTTAACTTAATTTCTGTGACTTTCAAGTTTAAGGGGTTTGTGTGTATTTTTTAATCTCTTGTAATTAGCACCGTGATACTTCATACTTGATCACAGTATATAAGTACCTACATAGAGAACATAAATTTGATAGTGGGCTCTTTAATCTACCAGGCAAAGGTATAACAAGATCCAATAGCTGGAAGTTGAAGCTAGGTAAATTCAGACTGAAATAAGGTGTAAATTTTTAATAGCGTAATTAACCATTGTACCAATTAACCAATTTATAAGGGTTGCAGTGTATTCTCTATCACTGGCAATTTTTAAATCAAAATTGGATGTTTTTCTAAAAGAGATGCTCTAGTTCAAACAGGAATTAATTCAAGGAAGTCCTATGGCCTGTGTTAGCAGGAGAGCAGTCTAGATGATCACAGTGGTCCTTTCTGGCCTTAGAATCTATTAATCATGTGTGTATGCACCAGCTGAACAGGAAAAAATATTCATATCAGGGACTGAGCAGTTATTGTCAACTTGTGGTTTCTCATTATGGAAAGTTGGAGACTTGAAAATTAGGTTCAATCTTAAATGAACATTTTTTGTGTGTATGGGGCAGAGGGAGGGAGAGAGAGAGAGACCTGAAATGAAGCATTTATGTTGGCTCAGTAGCCTTGAATACAGTTCTCAGTGTTCCCTACTGGTTAGGGTACAGTACTGGGAACCAGGAGAACTGCTTTTTATTGTTGTTTTGCCACTGATACCCAGTATCTGCTTCATATCCTCATTTTACAAATGAGAAAAATACTTACTTCAAAAAGAAAAGGAGTACTTGTGGCACCTTAGAGACTAGTCTCTAAGGTGCCACAAGTACTCCTTTTCCTTTTGTGGATACAGACTAACACGGCTGCTACTCTGAAACCTTACTTACTTCAGAGGAGCATTTAGCTCAATGTTGAGTGCTCTGCAATCTTGGATTAAAAATAAACTATGTATGTGCAAAAATAATGAGCTTTAGACAGACCCCAAAATATTAATGAACTTGAACATTCACATAGCACTTTCTTCCAAGATCTCAAAACTCTTCATAAACATTACTACTTGTAAAGAATCCTGTAAGACTCAAGCATAGTGTAAATATTTAAGTACACTATTTAAAATTTGTTACTCCTACATAGTAGTTAATTTTATCCTAGGTTCTCTTGAACATTCACAATAATGAAGTAGTGGTGGGCATTGCATTAACTGAAGAGAGTCTTCACAGAAGAAATATTACACATTTTGGACCCACAACTCTTCGATCCACCCTTGCTTATGGTATGCTAAGGTCAGTGCAGTCACTTAGTTGTATATTTTTCATTGTTATGTAATTTTGTTCTAGAAACTAAGCTCCTTGATTCTTTTCTGAAAAGTCCTTTTTAGTTACAAACAAACAGAGCTCAAACAAACATCGTGAACGTTTTGCAGTCCAGGAAAAGTGTGCCGTGACTATAGCCTATGCTCATAACACTTGTTATTGGCATCCTTCAACATATTTTAACATGTCACTGTATATAAAGTTAAACAAACATTGTTTTCAAGTGATTACTAAGATTTCCTTACTTTGTGGGAATAGAATAATTTGAAGAATTTAAATAGTTCTCCAGTTTACCTTGTCTGTAGAAACTTTTGCATCTGCTAAAACTTTCCTTTAATATAGTTTCTTCTGTTCTTCAGGCTCTGTGATCCTCAGCCAACTGACATTATAATTGATCCAATGAGTGGAACCGGAGCTATACCAATAGAGGTAATCCTTCTTTTGGTCTTTATTTATATTAGGAAAGGGGCCTAAACAGTGACATAACTGAATCCTGTGTATTTTAAATGAGTCAGATACAAGCTTACTGATATTCAGCAAGTGAAGCAGCCAAACATCAAAGATCTCGACTTTCAAACAACTACAAATAATATACTTACCCTTAGTGGCTTCACCTTCCTCATGCAAGCTGCAGAGGAAATTAACTAAATTCCAGAGTATTGTTAGGTCATTGAAAATGAATAATATATGAAATAGATATATTGCAAGGAATATTGAAGCTGAAAGTTGTCTGTTACGGCTTTATTCTGTCATTTACAGGTAGGTTACTGTTTTCTTTGGGTCTTTCTAATTCACCAATTCCAGCATAACAGATTTTATCAATTTTTTTTTCCATTTTCAGGGGGCTACGGAGTGGCCTAGCTGTTATCATATTGCAGGTGATAACAATCCACAGGCTGTGAAAAGAGCAGCAAATAACATCTGCTCTTTGTTGAAGAAAAATCAGAATAAAGAAAGGTAAGAGAAGTGTACGTGGATTTGTGGCACAGCTGTTTGTATAAAGAAATCCCTTTCTCGTGGATTTGTTTCATTTTGTTTTTAATATATTCCCGTTTGACATAATACCATGGGTATTTTTTATTTGAAAACCTTTTTGAAGTAAATCATGCCTGATATTGAATGCCTTTATTTGCAGTGGTACTTCCTGGGGCATACCCATAGATACCATTCAGTGGGATATCTGCAATCTCCCCTTGAGGACCAGCTCTGTGGATGTTATTGTAACAGACATGCCATTTGGAAAGAGGTGCAAATCATTATTTTGAAATAGTTTTTAAGGTTACTATATTTGACTGAACCATGTAGCAGTATTTCCTGTTGCTACTACCACTAAAGGTCTGCTAGAATTTCTAGAGTCTCTGACTCTGCCATAATTCTTGTCAGTACTTTTATAGCCTTCAACATCTTCAAAACACTTCACAAATTCTGAAAATTCACTCTGGTTTGAAACATGGTATACAATGTTTAATCCAAGCATTTCTAATTTTCAAGCTAATCAGTGTAGCAATTTTAAACTATAGATTATAAAAGCTTCTGCCAGTTTCATGGTGGCTTTTCTAAATGCTTTTATATCATTGTGTTTTTGGAGGGTTTCATAGAATACCTTGACTCATAATAAATATATTCAGTAAACATTGATAAAAGCCCTTATTTCATTAAAGTGCATACAGTTACAAGACATTCAGAATCACATTTTGATTTCAAATAACTTATTGGAAACTTCCATGAAATAGCAGCAACTAATGTATTGCAGTGATTTGTCTGAGAGCCAGACCTGCTTATTAATTCAGGAACCTAGATTTGGGAGGAGGGGTTCGGGTGGAGAGAAGATTGCAAGTCATTTGTAGTTGCTAGATGTTGTAACTTAACCATGTTACTGTAACTTTTAGTGTACTTACTACTGGAAAAAGCATGTGTGTGTTTTTTCTATGAGGTAACTTAATTACTTGATTAACTGATGCAGTGGAGCATTAATAAGACGTCCTTTTATTGGAAGTAAAGGTGGAAAGGAAAAGGAAAAAAATATCAAACTAAGCCATGCAAGAAAGACTAACTGAAAATGAATTGTTTTCAACTGCTCTGCTCACTGTACAAGTCTAAATTTTCATCCTAGGATAGGATCTAAAAAGAAGAACTGGGATCTCTATCCAGCTTGCCTTATGGAGATGAGTCGCATCTGCAGGCCTGGGACAGGCAGAGCTGTACTACTTACCCAAGACAGGAAATGTTTTGCCAAGGTATAGAATCAGATTGTTCTTAGGCATTTCTTTTAGTGATTTTTTTTACTCTTATAAACACCCTCAAAGACAGAAAAGTCAACTTACGCATCAGGCCTAAAACTGTATTCAAAATGAATGGATATTCAAATTTAAAATGTTCTTTCTGAACTAGATACTAGATTCTCTTCTGCAGTAAAGTTACCTTACAGATTTCACCTCCCTTTCTACGGAATAGATTTCTGCTGTTTAAGTTTTAGAAGTGATTAGACCTAAATTACAAGGATGAACTAAATTAAAAAAATGTAAAATTCATGCTTCTGACAATATATTATCTGTATATTTATCCACCATGTCATCCAAGTCAAATTGAATCATTACTACAAATTTAGAGAAATTTACCTTTCAAATTGGACTTCCTTGTCTTTCAAATTTCTAGGCATATTACAAAAACTAAAAGCACACACATGCTAACTGAAACATCTTCAGACACTCTTAGGAAAAAAATACACCCCAACATCTCCCAGCTCCCTTCAAAAAATCAGCCCAACTCCACAACAGACTGATTCTCTTCATATGTCCTTTGCTCTTCCCACTCTAAAAGCCTAGGAAAACTGAATTACTAAAACATTACATATGGCACACTGTTCAAAAGTCAGAAAAGAAATTTAAGTACAACTACTTATACATTCAGGATCCCCAAGCGTTTGACCTGTACATCCCAAAAGTGAAGGATCAGTGTGTGTATTCTCAGTATAATAAATTTACCCACAAAATGATAAGAACATTAAGGTAGCAGAGTCAAGCACTTAAGTTAGGAAATATGAGAATTAAAATTGCTTGTGCAACCCCCTTGCATATATGCATTATGATGGTCTTGATGCGCATCATATAGGAAGTCCATGGCAGAGCCAGGAATAGAACACAGCTTTCCTAGACCTGTATCTTAAAGACAAGAAAACTTGCTTTCTTTTTTTGCATGCTTCTACCTAATTCACTGTCCATGCTGTGTACAGAAGGAGGCAGGGGTCTGCACAAAAATAGTATGTGATCATATCAGAGTATCAGTGCACACACCCAAGGTAGTGAATGAAGGTTGCATGAGCAACTTTAATTCTAGCATTTCCTAATTTTGCAACATGAATATTCTTTTACATTTCAAGTTCCTGCTCCAATGCATGGAAGTGCTAAAAGAAATGTTTGGGAGATTTTTTTTTTTTTAAACATTGGTGCAGCTACCACTTCCCCAACCTCATTCTTGGAAATGGCAGAACAATTTTCACTGAAGCTTTCTTTAAAAAAAAATCACTTAAGGAAGAGTGAAAACTTCCTGGAAAATTTCAGCTTTGAATGATTAAAGTTTGGCAAAAATTAGTCTCTGAACAGAGGCTCATAATGGAAATTGTTAGGCAACCTTATTCATAGGCTTCAGCTCCACTTATACTAATTTTCACTTTTTTTTGTGTGTGCATTGTAGGCCTTGTCAAAAATGGGACACTTGTGGCAAAAGGGTCATACAGTCTGGGTGAACGTAGGGGGACTTCATGCTGCAGTTTATCTTCTGAAACGTACCTTGGAAAGAGCAGGAGAGAAACGATCATACTGGTAACCCACCTGTCAGCAAACATACCAGGCAGCATCCACTTGCCGGAATTTCTTGGAAAGCTGTTTGCTAGAGTATATGCCTTAGATTTCAGGTCTGCCAATTCCTAAGATCTTGTAAGGAAAGGAATGTGTTTAAAAAAAAAATGTGCACATACATTCTGTTAAGAGAATACTGGTCCAGGGATCAGCTTGAAAAGCGTCATTTCCACTGTGTACTCTGGAACCTTTTTATTTGAAACCAAAGTAGAAAAAAGGCAAAATCCACCAACAGAATTACGAATTTTTTCCTGTGCGTATGAATCTGCTTTACCATGTTTGTGGTGTTCTTCACTTGAATGTACATGTTTTCATGTTCACCAGGGAACTAGCAGGGTAACTTCTCAAAATGGTAGAATTTGTGTGAAGATCTTAAGCTGCTGATGTACAAGACTCCTGAAGGCTGTCTTTAGTTTGAGGGCTTTTTTGGTAATAGTGTTGCTTTATGGAAGGATTTTTTTCCAATGGAGAGAGATCTCCTTTTTGTTTCATTAGTTAATATCATTGCCAAAATGTAAGAAGACTAACACAAAGTAGTGCCTCCATTTATGTTTTGTTAGAAATGGCATCTGCTTTGCAGTACAGTACCTTGATACTGCTGTCCCTGTTCTCACCTGCTACCTCAACTAAGTGCTAATTCAATAAATGTTTACGTATTATGTATCCCTACTGTAGATGGGGTGGAGAAATGTAAAAAAGGGCCTTAGCAAAGTGTTTAATTTAAAAAATTGTGAAATACTGTAGCACTCTCTTCACATACTACTGCATATTTCTTATGTTTGGGTGGACAGATTTAGACTAGAACATGACGGCTGAGATACATTTTAATTCAACGGGCTCACTAGGAGATGCTTTTGCTGTGCTACCACCTCAACTGGAATGAATGCAAGCTGTAAAAGTGATTTTTTGTCCCTACTGTAAACGTACAATAAGTGGCTTCTCAAGTCTACCATCCCTCTTGTACTGGGGTAAAAATGATAGTTAACAGTTTGTCAATCATCATCTTCAAAGAGTTATGCCATCCGTCACTCTTGAAAGTGTTTAAGGGTGGAAGAGTAAATATTGAAGTTCTAGATGTTTTGGACAAGAGTTGGGTTCTTTAGGATTTTTCTGTCTTAGTTACATTCATTCCCCATTTCTTGTTCTGTAGTAGACTTTCATGCAGCCCTTAATACCTACTGAACAAGACTCTTCATATAGGAAATAAAGCACCACCATTACAATTCTAATAAAAAGGGTATTCTGTCCCTCTATAATGCTTTTGCTCTTACAAGCACGTTTGTCCCCCATGTGACCATGGCAAGGTACCATTCAGCCACAGTTCATGGATGTTTTGTTGTTCCTCAAGTTTCTTGTTGCACTGAGCTTTTACTTTATGATTTTACCTGAATATAATAAAGTCTTAACATAGATTATCTTGCATTTGTTGTGATTTTATTTGCTATCATTAGCTGTAACAAAGAACAAGCTTAAAGTAACTTTAAATATTTCAAATGTAGAAGCAGCATTTTATCAGTTTTCTTAACAGAAGATTCAAATAAAATCAGTAACATGCCACTCATCCCTTCTCTCCTAGACTGAACCATCAAGTAAGGATATTTTCTTGAAATTATGCACTCTAATACCACAGGAGGAAAGCAGTCCTAACAGATTTGAGTCCAAGGATAGAAAACAGGCATTTTACAATATTTTAAATACATAATTATAAACACAGTTGCCAACGAAAGTGAATGTTTGTTTTAAGTAAACAAGTAACTGGAGCTCAGAATATACTTCTGATTCAATTAAATTACATACACTAACGCATGATTTTGACATGTTTGAAAATGTAAAACAATCAGCTAACAGTAAAAGAAATAATTAACCTTTTCAGTTGTACCTTAAGGCAGTTTATTTTAAAGGTAAAACCCAGGGTGGTGACAACACGATAGCAGCTTCTTCACTGTTTCTTCCAAGGCTGTCAGCCTGTTTGTTCATATAGACTACAGAATTCTACAACCTCGGATTCAACTTCAAAGTGTTTAAAATAGTATTCTTCTGCTTTTCACTACAGCAAATTCTGCATTTTTCATGCACTATTTTTTCCTGCAGCAAATATTCTGACCCTTTCCTGTAGGGTTTTTTCCTGATTTCTCTCCCCAATGGAGTAGTAGCCTTTTTGTACAAGGGATACCACACAAGTCTAAGGCCTGGTCTACGCTACGGGGTTAGGTCAAATTTAGCCACGTTAGGTAGATTTAAAAATGACTGTGTCCACACAATCAACCCCGGTCTGTCGACCTAAAGGGCTCTTAAATCAACTTCTGTACTCCTCCCCGATGAGGGGAGTAGCACTAAAATCAAACTTGCTGGGTTGAATTTGGGGTAGTGTGGACGCAAATCAACGGTACTGGCCTGCAGGAACTATCCCAGAGTGCTCCATTGTGACTGCTCTGGGCAGCACTTTGAACTCTGATGCACTAGCCAGGTACACAGAAAAAGCCCTGGGAACTTTTGAATTTCATTTCCTGTTTGGTCAACGTGGCAACTCAGCAGCACTGGTGATCATGCAGTCCCCCCAGAATTGTAGAATGTTTCTATGCTTCCCCTATCATCTCCGTCCCTGAGGTTATCGCAGATTAGAAGGCGAAAAAAACCACACTCATGATGACATGTTTTCCTAGCTTATGCAGTCCTCCCGCACTGATGGGGCACAGCTTAATGCATAGAGGCATTCAGGGGCAGAGGCCAGGAAAGAATTAAGTGAACATGAAGAGCAGACACAGGATGCGATGCTGAGGCTAATGGGGGAGCAAATGGACATGATGATGCACCTGTTGAAGCTGCAGGAAAGCCAACAAGAGCACAGACCCCCACTGCATCCACTATATAACCGCCTACCCTCCTCCTCATGTTCCATAGCCTCCTCACCCAGATGCCCAAGAACGTGGGGGAGGCTCCAGGCACCCAGCCACTCCACTCCAGAGGATAGCCCAAGCAACAGAAAGCTGTCATTCAAACAGTTTGATTTTTAGTGTGGCTACAATAAGCCATGTGGCCTCGTCCTTCCCTCCTCCCCACCCCATCCAGGCTACCCTGTCAGTTATCTTTTTTTTTTTTTTTAAATTAATAAAGAAAGAATGCATGGTTTCAAAACAATAGTTACTTTATTTCAAAGGGGGGAGGGTGGTTGGCTTACAGGGAATTAAGATCAGCAAAGGGGGCAGGTTTGCATCAAGGAGAAACACACACAACTGTCACACCGAAGCCTGGCCAGTCATGAAACTGGTTTTCAAAGCCTCTGATGCACAGCACACCTTGCTGTGCTCTTCTAATCGTCCTGGTGTCTGGCTGCTCAAAATCGGACACCAGGCGATTTGCCTCAACCTCCCACCCCGCCATAAACATCTCCCCCTTACTCTCACAGATATTATGGAGCAAGCAGCAATAACAATGGGAAGTTGGTTGCGTTGAGGTCGGACCTAGTCAACAAACAGTGCCAGCGAGCTTTTAAATGTCCAAAGGCGCATTCTACCACCATTCTGCACTTGCTCAGCCTATAGTTGAACTGCTGCTTACTACTGTCCAGACTTCATGAGCCATGGGAACAAGGGGCAGGCTGGGGTAGGTGCAACCGCGCGATGCTCTCAGCTGGGAGAGCAGTCTGAGGCATAAGCCTCCAGCTCGCATGATATTCCAGCCAGGACTGAATCTCCATGAGAAGAAACTTAAAGAAGAGAATAACCTGGAGTCTCGGGCTCCCTTTTGATGCTCTAAGAGGAGGATAGCCAGGTCTGTCCAGGCGCCCTGATCAACCTCACTGAGGTCTGCCATGAGCACCCAGGAGGTGTATGATGGTTATCAGTACTACTGCACCGTCTGCCGTGAAGGCAACGAGCTGCTGCTGTGTAGCAATGCATTATCGCGTCTGCCAGCAGCACCCAGGAGATATACGGTGACAGTGATCTGAGTGGGCTCCATGCTTGCCATGGTATGGTGTCTGCACGGGTAACCCAGAAAAAAAGGCGCAAAACGATTGTCTGCTGTTGCTTTCACTGGGGGGGGGGGGCACTTGACAACATGTACCCAAAACCACCCGTGACAATGTTTTTGCCCGATCAGGCAGTAGGAGCTTAATCCAGAATTCCAATAAGCAGCGGAGACTGCGGGAACTGTGGGATAGCTACCCACAGTGCACCGCTCTGTAAGTCAATGCTAGCCACGGTAGTGAGGATGCACTCCACCGACTTAATGTGCTTAGTGGGGACATACGCAATCGACTGTATAAAATCGGTTTCTAACAATCGACTTCTATAAAATCGACCTAATTTCGTAGTGTAGACAAGGCCTAACTCCGCTATTGTTAGCATCAGCAAGAAGCAGTGTCATTTTTAATCCAATCAATCATACTGAAATGCGTACCATCAGTAGATAATAGCTGCTATGATACTCCCAGCCAGGGGGTATTAATTATCTAGAAGAAACTTACTTCATGCTCCTTCACTTGTTGATAGGAGTTGGGTAGAAGAATGGTACAGATACCAATGGAGCGTGTGTACCAATCATTCAAAACCAGATGTCTGTCATAGAGGGAGTTAACATGAAGGAAAGAGTGTTTTTAATGATTTAAGAAATACAGGGAAAGACAGTTCCCTGAAAGTTTTCACCATTGTAGCCTACCCTAAAAACGAAGAAACTACAGGCCTGATTTAATACCGCCATCTTTCACAAGATTTTTGTGGTCTGTAGATGGACCTTTTAGCCGCTTTAGTGGGTACTGACCTGTACCTTATAGCTTCACTGTTGACAGAAATTTGTGCACACGTCAGTTCTTACACCATGTGTAAAGCCCTTTACTCATATAGGAATGCTGAAGCAGTTTGCGTTTCAATTCAATCTGTTGAACTGTGCTCTTTAAAGCTGCTTTGCGAAAAATTTGCCATTGTATCTCCTGCTGCAGCTGTTCCTTTAGCTCTGCCTCACTGGGATAGGAATGTTCCTGTGGCAAAGACATTAGGCCCTAATCAAAATCTCTCAAGCAGAATGCGTGGTGAAAACCTCCTCCCCATCTTCCTTTATGAAAAGGATTCATTTCCATTAAAATGAGTGTATAGTGAAAAAATGCATAAGAATTCACTGTATTTTTTGTTGAATTTAGATGAGACTTTCTGACTTGTAGTTGCTTGTCAGAAGCCAAACTTTAGAAGTCAAAACACTTATGAAAAACATTAAATATTCCATTAATGCATATTTCAATCTACATGTTTGATTGTAACAGTTATTTGTGTTGTTAGCTACATAAGTTATCCAATCAGGGTACCAAAAACAAGCCCACAAGACTTGCTAACCACCAGCAAGTTTGAATGTTTGTCATGAGCTAGTCCTACAGCAAAAACGTTGTAGAAATTTGAACTTCAAATAGACAAAATTCACTAAATATGTAAACAGAATATTCAGTCATCTAATTTTTTCCATTATAAATTTATATGCTGAAGGATCTATAAAGAAGGTAAAGTTTTGCTCTGAAACACTTTCCCTCAGTGAAACATTACAAGTTCTTAAATATATAAAGCCCTATATAGATTTTGTATTTTACTATCACTTACTTAGTTTTGGCTGTTTTGAAATCAGCTACTGCAACTTCATAGCTTTTGGAAAATGCACATTTTAACCTCATGCACACTCAAGATGCTTAAATATTCTATTTATATAGAGCACCTTTCATCTGAAAGCTTTTACAAATCATATATTACAGCTGAGTGTACTGCTCCCATAAGAAATGCTGCAGATCATATTGTACTACACTAGCAGGAGGGGAAATATGGTCAAGGACAAAGGAGAAAACTCAAGATGTCATTCTATATAGATTCTTATACCATGCTCATCACCATAATATCTGAGCACCTTCCAGTAGTACATTAAGCAACATGACTAACATCTATCATGGCCGCTCATCCTCCCAGGTGGAGAACCACGTGCACGTGGAGTGTTTTGGTTTGGTTTATTGGGGAGGTAAGTTGTGCCATGGGATCTCTAATGTTAACAGACAGCAGATAGTGATCTGTTTTAAACAGGATACTTCATGGAATCAGTTTATCCACCACAGAAAAAATGAAAAGGTTTGTTGACTATGCTTTCTCTTGACATTTTAAAACCTGAGCTTTAGACTACATTGCCACTCACTTAGATTTAAAAGATCAAGTGACTGAAGTGCTGTTAAAGACCGAAACAGAAATCTACCTTTAAACAAAAATAAACAAAACACCTAAAGATATATTTACAATCCCTCAGAGAGTTGCTCAATGTCTAACACCGGTTTGACTAGATCTTATTTCCAATCCACAATGAAGTATTAGCCGATTTTCTAAAACAGACGACCGTGCAACTTGCACAAGGAACAGCTGCAGTGAGTGCTAAATGAGCACCACAACTGCTGGGACAACATTTTCAAAATCAGGTGCCCAAAGAGTCTCCTGAATCCATATTCAGGTGCCTAACTAAGTGGGATGATTTTCAGAGGTGCTGTGTATCCTGCAGCTCCCAGTGAAGGCACCCATTTTTTAAAAGGCTACAGAGTTAAAAAAATAGTGGGCACCCTCCCTGGTAGCTGCAGAAAGGAAGAATGACCTGGTGGTTAGGGCACTAGCCTTGGAGTTAGGAGACCTGGGTTCCAGTCCCTGCTTCACCACAGACTTACTGTGTGACCTAGGGCAAGTCACTTAGCCTCTCTGTGCCTCAGTTCCCCATCAGTAAGAGGGGCATAACAGCATTTCCCTTCCTCAGAGGGCTATTACAAGGGTAATATATATTAAAGATTCGGAGGTTTCCTGATACTATGGTATTGGGGGACCATATAAATACCTAAGATAGGGCAGATAGTATAAAATGTTTTTTTCATGTAATCTAAGAAAAACACCTCCAAAAAATGGAGAAATTGTCAATTGCACCCAGTTCTGCTACACAAGCAGATAGAATTATCATATGCATAAAGATTGTATCATAGCAATCGGCCTAACCTCTGAGTTTTTCCTTTTCATGTTAGTCTAGAAAAAAAATGGAATAAGTTATTCTTAATGACAGTAAGTTTAATTAAGATTTTGAATTCTGTAACCGAGAAAAAGATGACAAGGCCAAAACCCTGTTCTTAACTTAAAGGTTTGCCACAAACTGCTGCCCAAGCAACAGTTTAGTTTCACAAAAGTAGGTACAACTGCCGGGTATAACACTGTGTGAATGAATGCTGCCAAAACCTGTGTCATTTTCCAGAAGCTTCCTGGAGCAACTGAAACAAATGTGGGCTAACGTCCATGTAACATTAGAGCCGGTCTGCTACCAAAATGCCTTGAAGATGGGAGGAAATTCCCAGGTTCTAAATTAGCCCAACATAGTTAGCTTTTCTCACACGCTCATGTTTATCAGGAAATTGCCATCAGCTCAAACACCCAGTGTTCTCCTTGAGTCTAAATCCAGACTGAGGCTCCTTGCATGCAGAATGTAAAACCATGTTCTTTTGTTACTACATTGTTGAAGTTAATAAAAGGAGGCTAACACCAGATATTGGCACGTCACAATAACCATCCACTTTTCATAACAAAACTAGGCAGGTTTCCATTTCCTCCTAAATGAAAACAGCCTTTGTGGAAGACTCATTTAAAAAGGAAAAACTCAAACCAGACCTGACTGCAGGTTACATAATGGAAGATGCTTACACTCTTTTTGACAATTCTTCAACAAAAAAACTTCAAAAAACAGACTTCAACGAGAAACTGCAGAACTGAAATTAATTTGCAAACTGGACAACATCAAATTAGGCCTGAATAAAGACTGGGAGTGGATGGGTCCCTCTACTGATACTCTCACCTTCTTGTCAACTGTTGGAAATCGGTGACGCCCACCTTGATTGCACTGGCCTCATTAGCACTGACCCCCTCACTTGGTAAGGCAACTCCCATCTTTTCAAGTACTATATATACACACACACACACTTTTTATTTTTTTTATATATATATATATATATATATATATATATACACACACACACACACACACACACCCCGCTTACTGTACTTTTCACTCCATGCATCTGATGAAGCGGATTTTAGCCCATGAAAGCTTATGCCCAAATGAATGTGTTAGTCTCTAAGGTGCCACAAGGACTCCTCGTTGATTTTGCTGATACAGACTAACATGGTTACCACTCTGAAACCTTACACTCTACATTGCCCCATCCTTTGGATTTATTTTTATAGGACAAAACAATCTAGAGCTCATTATTTTGCTTACTCATTTAACAAGGCCATCCTCACCCTACTGTTGAAAATGCTATTAAACACTGTGTGCTTACAAATCAAGACTCTGGAAGTGACATTCTGTGCTGTGTTGCTAAGACTCCCAGAGCTCACAGCTCCGCTGCTCATGGGAGAGAAGGTTATGGTGGGTTTAAGCCACCTTTGCACCCTCTGGATCCTAGGCTGCAACAAGAGGCCTGTCTAGGTTATGGCATTCCACAGTGCTGCCCAGAATCTCTGTACTGGTTGGTGCTCTGGACCTCTAAGACAGCAGGACTAGCGAGGGGGTCCTCAGGAGGCAGCCTTATGCTGACTACCACAGTGCCTGTGGCAGGGGAATCCTTCCCCAGCTAGAAGCAGAACTTTTAGGGCCCCTCTTACCCAGCATAAAGGGATTGAAGGATTGGGGCAGGGTGACGAGGATCCCACCCTAGAAGAAAATTTTACTTGTGGTTTATGATAATGTTGATTGGCTGTTTCTTTGCTGCTATGCTCATTCAAAGACTGTTAAATCAAGTAACTACTGCTATGTTCTGAATTACCTCTTTCTATCCCCTCAGATTTTTTGAAAGCACATTCATGATTTTAATGCCTAACATGATTCCACAACGTGTGCAATTGTGCAAACAGCACAAAGTATGGAGATGCAAAGCTAATCTAATTTAGTAAGGTTGGATAGTCATAAAACAAACAAATGTGTACTTACTTTTTTTCGCAGCCTCTGCAGAAGATCTTTGGAGGCATGATGCAGGTAAAACTTCTTTGAGATCTTAAGACACTCAGCTCCATTGCTAACTACACACAAATTTGGCTGATCCTCAAAAAGAAAGTCTAACAGTCCCTTAAAGGTAAGAAAATTGAAATGAGCCAGACCTGTTAAAACCCACAATCCCGGCCTCTTGCCCCTATCCACTTTCAGCACAAGTCATGCTCATTACAATCTGTTCACTCAAATTCCCCTACTACTGCTGCAGTTCATCCTGATTACTGGTGGGCCATGTTGTCTTTTATCTGTAACAGTATTTTATTTATTACACTGCATTAGGAACCCAGGGGGCTTTGGCCAGAGCGGGTCAATATATTAATAAATGCATCGGGTGAAATTCAGGTCCCAATCATGTCAATGGGAGTTTTGTCACTGACTTCAATGGGGCCAGGATTTTATCCCTTAGGATCGTCTATCCTCCAAGACACGATGCAGTTGTCTATCCTGGTGAGAGCTTGTGTCACTTCTGCAGTATGGTGTATACAGAAATATCATATAGAAGTGCATTCACTAGAACACACGTGTCTGAATGAACCGGGGAATCTGCCACCAGCTTAACATAATAAATCTTAGAAACACAGAAATCAGATATCTAGTGTTACCGAATCTGCTCCCAACCAGTGAAAGACTATTCCCTACAATTGGTAGTGTTTTGTCAAGCTCAGTTTTAAATGTTTTAACAGTGCTATCTTGAATAAGAATTGAATTGCAATTATGTCACACCTATATAATTGGAGAAATAATTCAAGGGAAACATTTTTTGCCATTACTTTGACCCCATCTACACAACTATAATCTTGGACTGTCCAAAGTTCTAGTTCAATTACAGAAGCATAGTACCATCCACAATACAAATTTTAACTATGTTGTAACATGGTCAGGGAACAAACATGATGTAACCACAACCCCGACGCAGGTATATTTAGAGTAGACAGGCCTTTGTTAAAAATTACTTCGAAGAAAATGCGCCTTGACTAGAACCATATTCTGTAAACTTAAATCCTATTTGTAAGTGTCCCAGCTCAGAAGGATCAGAGATAAAATAAAGTAACAAGAAGATTTCCTAACATTTTGAAAGACTGATCAGGATGATTCAGAGAGTATATCTCTCTGATTGCAGCTCACGTAGACATACCTAAGCTAGCTTTAATTTTGTTATCTTGAGTATCGGAGCAGTGAATCTCTGGCAGCACATTGTGATTGCTGTAAACCATGAATGGACAAAAGGACACCAGTGAGTGTAAGCTGAGTCACATGCGTTTTTTAATGGCAGCCAAGAAGGAAGGCATTTTTCTTTCAGTATGGAATACTCACAAACACAGATCCCCGCGGCAAGGTGTCTAGGGCAATGGTCACAGGAGTGTCTGTCCTGCTTGTCAACAAAGATTGGTGAACTGGTTAAAAAAAACAGCAAGAAAAAATTAACTTATTTAATTATAATATGTATGTAAAAAAATCTGCATTTTTATCTTCTTCGGTTTTTAAACTATTTATTTACAATTAATGTAAATACATATAGATTATAGCACCTGTGCCCGCCTCACACTCAGCATCTTCCCACCTCCCCCAATGCTGGGGCTGAATTGGCCCCCACTGTAAATTAGAGTGATCATAAGGCTGCTTTAACTTGCAATGGCCGTGGAGCTTATTAGCTGTTAGGACAATGGCTAATCCCCAGGAAAATGTCACCTAGGAAATGGCTAATTTTCTAGGGTTTTAGGTGGTGCTGTGTCGGGGTTTAGGCCAGGATTCTAAAATGGAGCAAAACCCAATCTGCCCCCCCAGAGCAGGTCAAAACAACACTGGCTAAAATGCCAACAGCCTCCCTATAGTAGAGTTCTTACTGCTTAGGGGGAAAAAAAAGTCTAACACAGGTAAGGTCCAAGAGTTTCAGCCTAGCAGGACTGGAAAAGTGAAAAGTCCATTGGGTAGCAGTGAAGCACTTCCAAACATTCACTCTAAGAAGAGACTCACTATAACCAGGTTCCCTATATGCAGGTACCACTGCATTGTGTATATATCCTCTTCTCTAATGTCTGCATGGGTGCAAAGGTAATGTAGTTAAAGTGGTACAATTTTTGTATGTAGACATGGCCTACATCGGTTTAGTGTGGATGCAGTTATATCAGTATAAAGGTGCTTATACCAGTATGGCTTATTCTCATGCAGGAAAGAAAATAAGCTTTATACTGGTACAACTGCGTCCACACTAGGGGTTGCACCAGTAGAACTACTTCATTTAAAAAAAAATTAACGATCACCACCCCCCTAACAAAAATAGTTATACTGATACAAAAATGGTACACAGACCATCCTTAGTATGGGAACTCAGATTGCTAGTGTTTACAAGCATACCTAGAGAAGAATTCAATGGCTTATCTAACAACCTTGCTGAATATCATTAGGGTGTTTTGTCATACTCACTGCCAGCTTCAGCTTGCATTATTCTGTTGGCGGGAGCTCTGTTGCTTAGGCAAGAGTCATCTTGAAAAATCTTCAGTACAGAACAACTTCCCTTTAAGTACATGAAAGGTAATTTAAAAATAACCATCACCCAACAGCACCTCCCCAGATCGCCAAGCTCCGTGCTGGCTTTGCAGATACTCACTTCTTTCACAATGTAAATCCATTCAGTCACATTACTGTTTCTCAGAATGACAGTTCCTCTTCTACAATAAAAACAGAAGGAAATTAACAGATATAGAAAAAGCATGAGATTCTTAAGATTTCTTGTAAGTGCCCAAATTAAGGCCATTTTCCATGAGCACTGCATACATTCCTATTAAAAAGTCCATCGAGTTTAATGTCATGTTTTAAAAGAGTTCTTACCTATTTCAGTAAGGCTGAAAGAATTTTTTAAAAATCTTCTTGTTTTTATGTCTTTTGTTTACTTTTTGTATTTCACTCATCTTAGTCTAGGGAGCTAGTTTGATCTGATTAACACGCATTTCAACAGGCTTTAGGATCAGGCTCTCAGAGAACATAGTTATTTCAGTTGACCCTTAGATTTTGTAAAGCTTTTTTATTGTTAATTGTTTATTGTTAATGTTCAGCCTGAACTACCCAACAGCTGCAAATATTAAAGTATTTCCTTATTACTCCAAAACTACAATGCAGTCAGCAGACTCTGATGCTGTTCCTGAAGTGCTGCAGCTTTGTCAGGTTCAGCTGTAGTTTAGCCTTTATGGCGACTTAAGGGCGCTCTGCACAAGAAGCCAAAAGGGGATGAATTGAGCTTCCTTGTTGTAGGCCAGAGAGAGTACCCGTAACCTAGCTTGTTCTGGAAGTGGGGAGAGTCCTTCCCTGATCTGGAGAAGTCCAGTGAACACACATACTGGAGAATAAATGCATGACTCACTTTACATCACTTGTGCTACTGCTTTTGCCATGTCCATCTATTAAACTTGCCTGATACTATCAAATATTCCTGTGAGGGTGGCTGAGATTTCAGGGTCAGGTATTTGGAGGAATGAACTATTTTATTAAAATAATGCTTTTGAACTCTTTCACAAAGTATTCAGCATGGTTTGTACCTATGAAATGAGGAGCCAGCAAAATCAATTTTCCAATTTTATAAACAATTAACTAATATGCAGTTGGCAATTAACATTAAATCTCAGAGTTGTCAGGTCCAATGCAGGGTTTGATCCAATGCCCATTGAAGTCAACAGAAAGACTCACTGACTTCAGTGGTCATTTGATATGAACCTGTGACAGTCTGTATCCCTATGTCCACCCCTTTTTCAAGACTGTGATAAATTTTGTACAAACTGTGCCTTGTAAGTTATCATCTGAAAATTCATGATCTACTGATCTTTATTGTCCTGTTAAAATGTGTGGCAATGTTGTATGTAAAGTTACAAGATTCTACTGTATGATGTTACTAAGACATATTCCAAATCTGGGGAAGTAGTCACAAACCAGTTCCTCAGACAAAAGGCTAACCAACGCCTGTGTCAGGTGTCAACAAAATCAAATGGACTATCACCTGTTTAAGCGGCCATTCTTTGGCAAGAAAAAAAGTGTAGTGAGGAATTTATATCTTTGCAAGGTTGAGGATGAGGTTCCCATCCTCACAGACTTTCTGTCTCCTGAACCCCAGCTGGAGACTATTCTCAAAGGAGAGGAAAAATTATAGAGAATGGAGAACAGAAGCCCCAAATCATCACTCCCTTCATTTCTACTCACAGCATCAACAATGTGTAAAGGACAAAGGAAGCATAATTGGACTGAGGAAGGATCCTGGCAGAAAGGAATTCAGCCAGTAAGATTTCTAAAACATGATGAGAGACACTTTTGCTTTGAAATCATTTAGCTTGTTAAGTTAGGTACTAGTTGTGTTTTACCTTTTATTTCTTTGTAACCACTTCAGACGTATTTTTCATTACTTGTGATCACTTAAACAATCTTTCTGTTGTTAATAAACCTGTTTAATTGTTTTACTGAGATCAGTGTGCTTGGATTGAAGTGTCTGGGAAACTCCATTTGAGACAACAGGATGTGTGCATTTCATTTTCTTTTAATAAAATGACAGACTTTACATAAGCCTGTGTTGTCCAGGACAGGGCTGGGTAATACAAGATGCACATTTCTGGGGGGAAGTCCGAGACTGGGAATTTACTGGTGTTGCTCTGCAGCGTAATAAAAGAGTGGCTGGCCATAGCACTCATACAGCATGGCTGGGAGTAATTTACATGCTGGAAGCTGTGTGAAAGCAGAGCAGGAGTGCTTACTCTCACAGCAACACTGTAAAAGGCACCCCAAGTTGGATAACCAAGGGGACAGAGCTGTTCAACGGTCCAGATTACACCCTGGGAAATGTCAGAGCCTTAGTCATCTATGGAGAGACGAATAATAACATTATAATACACTCTAGTTTTGCCAGAGATTTTAATGAGCACTTTAGTTCATCCTTCTTTAGATACCAATCCTGCAACCACATCTGTGTCAGCTGACCCTGCATCATGCCGATCTCAGTTCTGCAGGTGCAAAGGGATAGGCCAAAGCAGATCCAACTGCAGGATCAGGGCCTCAAACTGCAAGTTTCTAGGGTCTAGGAACATGTCTTCAGTGGTCCCAGTCCTGAAAACATGTGCTACTGGGCATAGTGCTTACTACTGTGAATAACCGCACTGCCAGAGTACTCATTTGGAAAGCACAATCTAAATGTTTTATAATAACAACTCCACTGGATAATGCTGGTTTTCTACACTGAATAAACTTTTCTGACCTGTAGTGACAGACAATGCATTTTCCAGGATTGTCTTCCAGCAGATTGATGGGCCAACCTTTAAAACAGTGCAGACTTCTAAGCAAATCAGAGAAAGAAATTGTGAGGACCATCACATCTATCGAAGTCCAATAGCATCCGTAATGTTAAAAGTTGTCACTGTATTCCTGAGGGATCAGCAAGATCAGTATATTGTTAAATTAAAAACCCTCAAACTATGCCAGAAAGTTAGTATGCCATTGTAACAAAAGAGACAGGACATTTAGTGGATAGTAAATGATTCATTATTACTAAAGATAATAGTACTTCTAATAATGCCTTCAACATGAAGATCTCAGGTGTCAAAGCAGCAAGATTCACAACAATCCTGAGAGGAGTTATTGTGCCTATCTGCATATGGAAACACAGAGTAGTTAATTGACGCGTTCATGGAAACAATGTGAAAGAGTAGAAAAACAGTAACAGGTCAAAAGGACTACAGTACTTTTCTGGTGATGAACCCTCCCCCAATTAACAACACAGCTGATTCACAGATGTGGTAATTGAAAAGTCTGAAGTTCTTCCATCCTACCTCAGAAACTGCATCTGCTCAGGATCTCCAAACACGTTTTTCCCACCAGACAGGAAAATCTTGATGAAATCCTGAAAAGTATCAGTTAAAAACTATTTTAAAAACAGAAAAACCTCCCATTCGCCTATTCATAATCAAACTCTTTCTTCTCTTATCTTAAAGTGTTTCCCTAAGCACTAACGGATGAGAATGGTAGACAGCAATGTTACAAGGAACAGAACTAGGGCCCCAGAAGGAGGACAGCTTAACCAACATTTCCTTTGCAGAAGGCTCCCCCCGTTTCCTTTACAGTGCTTTTCCTCCTCTCACCCACACCTCATCTTGATGTTGAGAAGCATACATTTCTGTAACTCTCCAGGAATTATGATCTTGGCACCTTACCAGTATTATACGTCACATTATCATTCACTGCTTATTTTATGTGTAGGATTTTCTATGGCACTTGTCATGGCAGTATCTGAGCATCTCACAAATATTAATGACTTAACCTTATAGCTTCCCTGCAAAGTAAGGAAAAGTTATCCTGAAACTGAAGCACACAGATTAAGGCTGGGATTGGCACCCAATTCCTACTGGAATTCATTGGGATTTGGGTGCTTCACTCCCTTAGGCTCCTTTGAAAATCTTCCAGTTTATGTGACTTGTCCGAGATATCAGAGTTAGTCTGTGGCAGACATATGAAAAGAAGCAAATTTCCTGATTCTCATTCTAGTACCTTAACCACAATAATTACAAGACTATCCTTCTATCCTGCTCTGATTTATAATACAGTGACTGATCCAAAGGGCAGCATTATCTATAGCTATTCCCCAGTAGAGTTCATGAATACTTTGAACTTGACTGACCATAACACAACAGTCAAAGACATCTTACAGCAAAGTCCAACACTGCGCTTCCCACTACCTGCACTCCTCCCACCCATTTTCCCACCCATTTTCCCACTTTTGATGCCACCCTGGACGCCTTGCTCTCTGGATTCAAATCCCTCTTGAATGCTCATGTCTTCCATGAGGTTTTTCCAACAATAATCAACGAAGGACAGAAGAACAAAACAAAACTCTTTTTAAAAGTGAAGTTATCTACCATTCTAATCCAAAAATGGCACCTTCATCTGGTCTAGTCTATGTGCCTAGACTAGACTGTCAATCTCTGATTTAGATTAGAAACTCTTCAGGGCAAGGACCTGTTTTTCCCAACATATGTGCGGTACCACAGTGCCAATATTCTGTGCATATGCAGCAAATGATTATCTGCTTTGTGGTGAAGCAGAGAAACAGTCCACCAGCATGGAAGGGGTTAAAGAGAGCCTTTGGGCCCTGCTAGTCCTGGCCTGTTATACCTGCAGCCAGTGCCAGGCTGGTGGGGAGAGGAGGAGGAGGAGGGAGTGTGGCTCAGTTCAAGGCTGACTGGCAAAGAGGTAGGAGCTAGTTGCCTCCCTACCTGAGGGAAGGATCACTAGCCTGCCAGCCAAGGCAGCCACCAGGAACTGTCTTCCTGGCCAAAAGGGACAAAGAAGGAGGCCTACCAGAACCCAGCCTAAAAGGAACCCAGGTGACTGAAGCACGGAGACCTTGTGGGGGTTCCAACCCCACCAAACTTACAGCTGCCCCACCCAGAGGAACCTTGGACTGCACCAGGATGCTGCCCAAGGTCCAGCAGGGAGCACTTCTAGAGACAAGCCATCACAGGGACTTAGAGCATGCAGCAAACTGAAGGGGCAACAGTAGGAAGTAGCCCAGGGCAGTGGACATAGACTCCCCTCTGGGAGCTCCCCTACTCAGGGGTTGACTTACACAGGGTCCTGGGCTGGGAACTGGTAGAGTGGGAGGGCCTGGATCCTCTTACTCCCCTGCCTTAAAGACTGAGGCTTATCAACCACAGAAGCAGGGGGCAGGAAGTCAAGCACTCGAACCACTACGCCAATGGTCCCCAAACTTTACACAGTTGTACCCCCCCCACCCTTTCCCCTGTCCACACCCTTCCCAAGCCAGGGCCGAAAGCAGGGCTGTGGCTTCCGGAGAGGGGAAGTGTGGATAGGGGTTAGGGGGCCACTGCCAGGGGCCAAGGCTGGGGGTGGGGCTGGGAGCAGAGCTGCAGCCAGAGGGCCGAGGCTGGGGGGCAGGGCTGAGGCTGGGGTCGGTACTGGAGCTGGGGGCAAGGCTGGGGCCGGAAACGGAGCTTTGGCCAGGTCCTGAGTCTGGGGGAGAGGCCGGGGCTGGGAGCGGAAGCCGTGGCCAGACTGTGGTCAGGTGCCAGGGCTGGGGGGAGAGAGGAAGGGGCTGGGGCCAGGAGTGGAGCCAGGGCTGGGGGTGGGGCTAGGGGCAGAGCGGGGCTGGGTGGCGCTCTCTTCTCCCCCCCATTGGGGGATGGCCCAGGCCCTGCCGCGCCCCCCCCCAAAATGTTCCTCTGCGCCCCCTTAGGGGAACATGCCCCACAGTTTGGCTACCTGGCCCTTCAAGCCTCCTGTTACACGCTTATTTACGGATATCAAGGCCTACATTTATAGAAAAAAATACTTGTGTATATGCATACCCAATATGTGCATGCAGTCACCGACACTGCACTCAAGAACTGCACACACACAAACAACCAAGTTCATATGTGACCAGTTAATTGGATGTACAGTCAAGAAACTTTATTTTAGTCTACCTCATGCTCCATTTTCAGATGTGGATAAGTAGCAAATGCTTGGTTCAAATTCACCCTTGATGTAACTCCATTGAAGTCACTACAGTTACACCAGAGATTAATTTGGCCCGCTGTGTTTTAAAGTCCCTGCATCCTGTTGCTGTATAGCAGAACTACAGGTGGAATCTTCAAAGATTTGGAGGGAAAAATCTCCCGATTGTTGAACTGTCAGAATCTGGTGACTCTCATGGAATTTCTAGCACTTCCGGTTTCCAGTCAAGCTAAGAATACCATAAGAACAACTCCCCTGGTGGTGTTTTGGCTTTGCCATGAGCCTCTTCCATTCCCAGCCAAAACCCAGAAGTGCAAGAGTGCACAAGAATGGTAAAAAGAAATGTCATTCAAACTGTTCCAATCCTCCAGAAAAGGATGGGTCTAAATTCTGAACCAAGAACCTAGGGAATTCTTACTTTATCCAGACTGATTCAGTCATTGCTGCATAAACATCGTTTGTTGACCTCACATTGTGTTTGCATTCACATGATCAACTGTGTGATCCTGTGAATCTGACACACACAACACCAATGTAAAGCATCTGATTATATAACATGAGGTGAACATGCTCCACTTTTACCCCAGGCAGTTTTATCGTAGGTTTGTAGCAACTTGATCATCCATCAAATGCAGATGGAACAAATTTTTGAAGGATGATATGTAAAAACAGTCATCAGTGGTGGAACTTTTTGCTGCACATCAAATTATATTTATACAGCAGTGTCTTTGAACAAAGGCGGCCAAATTCTGACCCTTGATTATTCCCACACAACACTGCTGCAACTCAGTAGGGGTAGCCTGGCTGTAACTGTGGGCAGAAACAATGCGCTTACATATGTTTGACTAATAAACATTTTTATTTGTCATAAATGTAAGAAATATTTACCTCTCGGTCAATACAGAGAAACTCAGCTGGTTCCTGAATAATAACTGTTGTCTGCCAGTAGTCACCATTTATAATCTCTCTATCCTAAAAATAATAATTAAAAGGGTGGGGTGGAAAGAGGAAAAGTGTATAATTTTAAAATATCTATACAATTTTTAATCATTCTTTAATTTCAAATCTTCTCTCTCCCCTATGTCTATACTTATCTAGAGAACAGAGAATATGTTTTGTGGTATTGAAAATAAATCAGCAGATAATAAAAAGTCACACATTAATAAAAAAAGTCATCTTATTTATACAGGACTCTATATCCCACAAGACAGACATCTCTCCAACACTGAAACACAGATGGAGTGCAGAATAGCAGCCAACTGGTGCACAGACTGCAGCACTACAGTGCTAGCAAGTAGAAATGTTGCCCAAGGTCACTTGGACAAACCTCAACTCTCAGAAAAAGTGTGTGGAATTTTTAATTACCACAAGTGTTCAGGAATTCAATTTTGTGTCTCTTCTGTGTGACACATATAGTAAATTGCATGAAACTCAATTTATCGACCCTGCAAAAATAACGGGGTGACTCAACCCTATCTTGCATTGATGTATTTCAACACCTAGTGCACTGCTTTGTAACTCACCCCAAATGCATCCCCTCGACTAAAGAACCAGGCAGGCTTTACTTGGCCACTGTCACTGTTCCTCTTGATAACTGTTGCTACAAGGTAAACAACATCACAAATCAGCTGTTAAATTGTAAAACAAATAGGGGCTTCTTCTGCAAACAAGTAAGCATTTTTTCTAGACCCCTTGTGAATGTGATGTGAGGCTCTAAGTATGAAAAATATACGTATCATTATCCTGCTTGCTGTGAGCTCCAACAGGATATTTTCAAGCAGTTTGAATCCAAAATGTATGTTTTGCAGAAAACAAAAGTAGGGAGTGGAAGGTAGGTTTACAAAACATGAAAAATGATAGGGACACAGCATTACTGTTTGCTTGTAAACTTTACATGATCACACAGACTCTGACTCTTTTGAAGGGTACAAAAGGTCTGGAACATTTCCTGTAGTGCAGACTGGTATTAAGAGCTTAGAGAATTATTTATGTAGCACAGGCATTTTCTGGACACTACCAAATACGCAGCTGAGAAGTCTCTAAAGTGCGTGGCAACATGTTTCAGATGGCACAACATGTTGCCCAGGAGACAGTAGCCTAAACTCAGATTCTCTGAGATGTGTACTGATCTGATACAAAATTCCTCCTGGAACTACTGTTTTTATAAACAAAAATAATACTCAAATATGGAAGGTACATGTCTGTTTCATTGTTTCTACTAGGTTTGAGCAAATTACGATTACGTGCAGAAGATATGCTGCATAACTACTCACATTACAGTGTGAGAAAATAGATGTATTTAAAACAGGACTAGTGCTCTACTCCTTCCATTAACACATGCACCTGCACTCAAACGCACAATTTCTGTCAGGTTTAGTGAATGTTAACCTATGTGTAATTAGGGGAGAACAGATCCCTAGAACAAATTACTGGATCCCTAATTCCAGCTAATGTGGCAAAACTTTCCTGCCAGGAGGCCAAATCTTGTGAGAAACAGAGCACCATAGTGCTCAGCACCTCACAAGATCAGGCTCACTGTGCTGCAGTTTGGAATTCAAAGGAACAGAGCCATGAGTTTTCAAGAGGCAGAGAATAAAATAAATGTAAACGAAGAAACCGGTTTGAAATTCTAAGGGATTACACTGAAGATTAGGTTTAAATCCTTCTCTCTGTCAGACATGAAAATTCTGGAGGAATTATCTTTGGGCAATATTTGTCTAAGTTTTGGTTTTCTTTAACAACAACAAAATACTGATGCATTATCTATTTTTGAAAGAAGCAAGGAAGCTTAGTATCACTGCTAATCAAAGGTCTCTATCCACCAGTGCAGCAATCCCTGACTGAAGTCAGAAAACAAGGCTTCCCCTAAATAAGGTTATTGTGCTATCTGCCAACGCCACTGAAGTTCATTTTAAAATGCTGTAAAACATTCAAAAGGCCTCTTGTAAAGAGAGTCTTAAGTAGAGGAAACACTGTACACCCTTCACATAAATAAACTGAACCTTAATTTAATTTGGCTCCCCGAGGCACAACAATAAAGATCACCTTTTTTTTAATAGATTACTACCTACCAGATCCTGAGAGACAGATATAGAAGGAGTGTGGTGTGTAGCCCTGTTGGATCATCACTTGGCAGGATTCATACCTAGAAAGGACAGATTCCCTGAACAATAAAGAGTTTACCAGTGTTGCTATAGTTTCAAGCTGTTCTGAACATCTTGCATCTTCAAAGTCTTAAGTTCATTGCTAAATCACAGACCCACATCATCTTCTCCTTTTGTTTTACATACTGTGGTCTACTGGAAAGAGCACTGGCTGGTGACTCAGAAGACCTGGATTCTATTCCCAGCTCTGCTGCTGGCCTGCGAGGTGACCCTGGATAAATCACTGTCACTTCACTTCTCTGTACCTCAGTTTCCCATCACTAAATTGAATATAACCTCCTTTGAGATCTATGGATATAAGAGCTAGATACTATCATTATTACCACTAGCGTTCCCACTTTTGCTAACACTGGTGGAGCTGCAGCCATGGCAGGAAAAGTGCTAGTATAAGTAAGGCCTGGTTGGGAGATGTAACACATTTTATTTCCAAATTCCTGCCCCCAAAAAGGTAGATTTTCATCTATACTGTCACACAAACACACTGGATAGTATAAATGCTTGTACATAGAAGCTCAAGGTGCGAAATGTGAATGCAGTTTTGGATCCTGATTTGAACATACCAAAAGTTCAGGGCTGTTGTAATAATTGGGCCTACATATTTATCCTAATTGTGAGCTCAACAGTGAAAAGAGACTGAAAGTTCATCAAGTGTCACAGTAACCTATAAGAACAAATGCGGAATGGAAAAGGTGCAATGGCAAGACAGAAAGACACAAAAAGGCCTAGTGATATAATGCAAAGACTGTGTTAAGATCATGCTTGGTAAACAAGAAAAGTCAAAGAACAAAAATCAGTGACCCAAAATTGGCGTGTTGGAAATTAGGCCTAATTGTTGGATAAAATTGGTGGCTATTCCACCCATCATTACCTTTTGGAGTCCCTAAAGAAAGAGACTGCAGGGAGAAAAATTGGCTCCTGGAGCAAGCTTTACCATCATGGCTGCCATTCCCTCTGTCTTCTGACACCCCAGGCCTTCGTCATCCTGATCCTGAGACATTTCCAGACCAGGCCAGAGAGACTGCTACCTCTACCAGTTCTGGCTAAATCCCAAACACTACGGGGAGCGGGGGGGGGAAGACACGGGGAGCGGGGGGACGACGGACTTCAGAAAAAAAATGCTCCCCTACCCCTTGTGTGTTTTCCTTCCCTACCTTATTTCTTCTCTTTCCTATCCCTCTTCTTTGTTTTCCTTCTGTCTAATAAGAGTCTAGCTTAACCAGTCAAAATTGTATATTTTGCAACATTGTTGTGAACCTGTGACCAGAAAGGAAACTAAAAGCAACACCCTAAACAGCTCAATGCTGGTACAAGTTTGCCAGGTCTCAGAGTGGCAGATCAGACCATGCTGTGTTTCAGCAGTGAGAAGTGTAAGTCAACATCAGAGACAGAAGCCGCATTTCCTATCTTTGCTATTCCTTTCTCTCCCCTTTTGTGTGTGTGTCTGTCTTGTTGTGTCTTCTTAGGAAACTGGATTGGACTTTAACAATAACAACACTCCAGCCCTTCTCAACTAACATCTCTTTTCTCCCCAAAAGAACAGTTATTACCACCTTTGATACCATCTACAATAGTGGTTCTCAAACTAGGGAAAGCCCCTGGTGGGCTGGGCTGGTTTGGGGAAAGCCCCTGGTGGGTCAGGCCGGTTTGTTTACCTGCCGTGTCCACAGGTTCGGCCAATCGCGGCTCCCACTGGCTGCAGTTCGCCGCTCCAGGCCAACAGAGGCTGCAGGAAGGGCGGCCAGCACATCCCTTGGCCCACACCGCTTCCTGCAGCCCCCATTGGCCTGGAATGGCAAACCACGGCCAGTGGGAGCTGCGATCAGCTGAACCTGTGGACGCGGCAGGTAAACAAGAGGCGGCCCTAGTTTGAGAGCCACTGATCTAAAAGACTGTCAGATGGGGAGGGGTCTTTTAAAAACCCTCTCTACCTGAAGCAAAAGGGGACAAAAATGTTAAAATTAAAGCCTTACTTAATATTTTACATTTCAAATGCTTTAGCTGCTTTTCCTCCTTTTCTGTATCTTTGTGGTAGTGTAAATCATGCTATCTGGGACACCTTGGTGCTTGTCACAGGCACATGACACATTAGTCACAGGAAAGACCCTATACAAGACCACAAGGTATTGTAAAAATAAAACTAGTTTAGCAATTTTCTTGCCTTTATTCTGCATCAGCACTACAGTTTTTATTGTCCTACACAAACTGGTTAGATGTCAGCCCATACGGTAACTCATACAATTGCTGCCTCTGATCTGCTGCCCTAAACACTGACCTGTTTTGCCTGTATAGCAAAGCTGACTATGACCTGACCATTTCAATCTCTCTCCCCATAGGATTTATCCTCCTTATTACCTTGAATACCATGCAGCCTTTGCCACCTTCTTCTGAATCATTGTGGAGTAATTTCCAAAGGCCTTCATGGGCTGCAGGGTAACGAGTATGTAGCGGATGTCCTTCTCACTTCGCTCCTGAGGACACTGACGAAGAATATGTATGGCACGCTCAGAAATCCTTGACTTCAAGAAGGGAAAGTCAATTATTATAAAGCAACCAGTATGGTTCCTCTCTACATAGATGCTGTTTGGTGTCAACAAATTACTATATTGGAGTCCGGTCCAGAGTATTGTGGTAATAATAAGAATACCTAGTTCTTATATAGTACTTTTCATCAGTAGGTCTCTAAGTGCTTTACAAAGAAGGTCAGTAGTAGTATCCCCAATTTACAGACTGGGCAACTGAGGCATGGGAGTGGCGTGAAGTGACTTGCCCACAGTCACCCAGCAGGCCAGTGGCAGGGCTAGGAATAGAATCTAGGTCTCCTGAGCTGTGCTCCAATGGTAAATTGATAGATTAAGGATATTTTATATCCATTAGTGGACCATTATTGGATAGTGTTATGTTCACGACAAGTTTGTGAGCAATGAAGATTAGCAAGACTGACTAAACTGCATTAATGCTTGACTGTGATAGTCATTAACTTCAATGTCAATCACACTTCTCTTCTGCTCTCAGCAGAATGTCATTTTAATCAGTTTCAACACATTAATTCATTCTATAGGCCTCAACCAATTAAGTTAAAGGGAGTGCTTAAGGGCATATAGACATTGCATCAGTGTGTACAACTCCCATTCATGTTAATGTGAATTGCATACATAGAGGGAAGAAAAGGATTCAGAATTGTGATAAAGTAGGAGTTGCAAGCCTGGATCAAGGGCAGCAAATGGTTGTAACTACATGATCCTAGGAATCAAACACTCCATCTCTCATGCAGAACCAGGTGAAAAGTATAGCCTGTTAATTAGTAGGTGACTATAAAGCCAAGTAATTATTTTAGACTTATCATCATTAGGGGTATGAGCACAGGTTCTGGGATTTGTAATAGCTTTTATTTCCCCTCCCCTGGGATTTAGTAATGCTTCAAAAAGCCATTTACAGAGTAGCAAAAATACATAATCTCATCTCCTTGGAGTATTTCATTTCCTGGATAGTGAAGATACCCTGAGAACACTAGAACTTGCATTATTATGGACACATAAATGGTTCCCCAAGGGGAGCAAAAAAGCATATGAAAAACAAACACGAATACTATGTGACTTGGGTTTACTAAATAAATAAATAAATAGGTTCACCCATACAGCTGTGAAATCTGAAGCAAAATTCTAAATAACAAACCTTGCAAATAATCTACACCATGCTGCACATTCAAGGCCAGATTTTTCAGGCAGTTTTGGCACATAGGCACAGATCCTCAAAGGCACGTTTACATGTGCCATCATGATAACTTCACACCTAGCTGGAGTAAATGCATGCAAAAATGAGGCACATTTGACACAATTAAACTGACTCTGGCCTTTACGGCTTTGTTCAGGATGGTATTTTAGCCATTTAAGAATGAATTTCCAAAAGACAAGTTGTTCATCTGCCTCACACTGAATATAAACATGCACTTTTTATCCTCCTCAGAAAAGCTCAAATGGTTCACTGTTCACTATAGCATACATCAGATTTGCAGCATAATTTAAAGCACATTTGACAATTTCCCACCTACATGTGTAGTACATGCCACTGCACATTGCAGGTAGGAAAGAGCACTGGTGTGGAAGCAGGAATGCCAGAAAACTTATTTTCCAAGTTTCATGCAAAAAAGAATGAAAATGTAAATGGCAAAAAGATGAGCCGGTGCAATAAAACTGATGAAACAGCAGCTTTATGCTTGTTGATATCAAGTGCCTGCATCAAGGCTCCCAGCCAGAACAGAGAGATTGACTGAACTTTAATTAAATTGCAACTTGTTTGATTAAAACACCAATGAGGATTCAGCCACATTGGATTTTACACATAAGCACAAGCTTCTAACATACCGTTCCTAACCCTGCTTCTGGTCTCATTAAAAGGGGTTACTGAAGCTCAAATGCAAACTTAACAATTCACAACAAATTTGCAATTGAACCTTTTTCATTTGGAGTATTAAGGTCTAGTCTACACTGGAAAGTTTTGCCTGTGTAAGCAAAATGTACTATTTCAACAAAAGCACTTTTATACTGGAATAACTGCATCTCCACTAGCACCAACTCAGCACTAGAAACCGTTCTCTGGTGTAGCTACCAGGCAACCCCTTCTCGTACAGACATCTTATACCGGCAAAAAAAACCCAACAACCCTGCTTTTGCCAGGATAACTGATACTAGTTCCTTGACCAAATAAGCTGTACTGGCAAAAGCACTTTTATGTCAGTTTAACTGCATCTACATATACGTTTTTACCAGTATAGAAATGTTGTAAAGAAATCAAACCCCTCACCAACTAACAGAAAAGCAAATGTTTCTAGTGTGATATGGCCTAAATCAGCTTCTTAATAGCCTTAGGGGTATATGTTTTTGTCCATGTATTACATTCAAATGAACAGACCCTGAGATCACCCTTGTGTCAGTACATATGCAACTGATTAGGTTGGCTTCAATGATAATTATTTAGGCTGGAGAACTTAGACCTAGGGATGGTAACTCTGCTCTCTCCCTACCTGTTTTTTAGCCCTGAATAGTGTCACATCAAAGAGGATATCTTCCCTAGACTGTTCCATGTGGTTTGATTGGGATTTCCATCTCTTGACTCTCTCAATCTCATAGTTGAGGTTGGCTCTAACCAAAAAGACACACACTTGTTAGCGCAAAATCTTTCAGATAATTAAAGACAATTTTAAGGCTTACAATTCTTGTCCACATCCAAACACCTAAGTGTGGGTCTACGAATTACCAAGAGTATGAAAGTATGGAGATTAAGTTTATTAATTGTGTCTTAAATGACCAATTTAAATGGCTAACACCAGGCCCAGCCTGCAAACCCATACACATAATCTTCAATAGTTTTGTTACTGTCGATAGGTCAACCTGCATAAGTGAGTATTTGAAAGATTGGGCCCTCAGTTATTTTTGTAACTGTGACATCTCATCACTATACAAAACAAAAACTTCTCCTTTTCTCACTTGGCTGTAATTTTTGGAGCTGTAAATCTTCTTATCATTTACGTGTAATGAAGTAAACAAAATTCAGACAAATATGCAAAAAGGGTATGACGACTCATGAAGGTAATACCCAATAAGCTCTGGAAAATCCATAGATTGTAACTAAATAGCAACACATCCATATTCTATGGTGTCACATAACTTTCATTTACCTGCTCCAAAGTTAACCCAAAATTTCAGACTATAATTGTACATTATGTATAACTGAAACAGAAGTCTTTACATACTAAGTACAAAGTGCTCAGATACCATGGTAATGGATGTGATATAAAAGCTTTAGTAGAATAGAACAAAATGTATTACAAACAAATATTCATTACTCACAGTAGATGGTGCTCTTTGTAAAGTAAGCAAAGCATAACAATGCTTTTAGCAGCTTTCTGAAATCTGAACAGAAGATTTGGCTGAAAGAAGAACGTAACCAATAGCCGGTTATTCATTACCAGTTCCAGTGATTGTTAGTTACACAATAAGTATCATTTAAAACATCTTAGTGCTGAAGAATGCTTTTCATACTTGAAACACCTTATTAAAGCCATTCAGATAAAGGACTCATGTTTCCATGCAAAAGTGCATTTATTTTTCTGTTATACTGTAAGTTGAGGTGTCAGAACTGCCGGTCTACAAAACTGTACGACGACTCATTGTCTCTTCTCAAGTCTTTTAGAGGAACCTAGCAATTACAATCTCAAAACAGGCCCAAGATCCCATATAGCCTGACAGCCTGTTTCTGACCAATATCAGATGCTTCAGAGAAAACCTTGATAACCAGGCAATACTGTCCATGAGGAAAATTCTTCTTTACCCCAGTCCTGTAATCAGTTTATGCTCTGAATTGTGAGGACTGATTGCCCGTGAAATGTTACCCTAGTTTGAAAAAACCCTACTCCTTTTGGGACAAATCTGAATCCCTAAAGGCAAGAAAGATCATAAACACAGTCATGGTCCTACTGCACAAGGAAGTGGGGAATTGGCAGGAACACAGAGAAACTGTGCAGGGCGGTTCAGCACTATTGTGTGTCAGTTTTCTGCAAAACAGTGCAGCAGGGGCACTTTGAGTGCCCAGTAGGTGCATAACTACATAGATCCACTGGTCAAACACTTCAGCAGGGGTACAGAAGAGCCACAGCAGCTGCTACCACAGCCTCTGTTAAATAAAACTTTGAAACACCTCATGAAAAACACCAAAAATCATTTGACTAGGGACTAGATTTTCTTTTCATTCTGCCCTCATTCTTTACTACTTAGGAAGTTTACATAGAAATAGGATGTTGGTTTCTTGAGTCCTTCTGCCCCTGCTGCTTATTCCTCACCTTGTGACATTATAATCGGATCCACAGCTCCCAACTGAAATGTCATAAGCAGAAGATTATGGGCCAGATTCTCTTTTCATACACACCATTGTAAATCAGGAATAGCTCCATTAAAGTCAATAGTCACATTAGTGTGAGATCAGAATCAGTTCTACATTGAGTGAGGAATGAGTGGCAGCAGCAGCAGATGACTGGTTAGGAGCAAAAAGCCCTCCTTCATGCAGCCATTCCCTTTAACAGAAGACAGAGAAAAGTGAAATACTGGATATATGTCTCTAACAAGAAGTTAGTTCTGAGTTTTCCACATGGTTTAAGTCTATAGTTAAAAGGTCAGATTTGTATCAAGATCAACTTCTAATGTTGAACCTTATGTAAAACTGCCAGATACCCTGACATGAAAGCCTCTTCAATTTATATCGCACAATTTTCACCATTGTCTTGTTATAATCTGCTGTCAGTTTTTCTGCCAAAAAAAAAAATCAAATCTATTTTTGCTTACATATATATGAAATTGTTTCCTCAGTACAAAGACAAGAGCCAAATTAATTTCTGGCGGAAGCCCATTGATGTTAATAAAGTTATACCAAGGTTAAATTTTGTCCTGTCAGTCAGTCCCATACAAAACTATTTCCTGCTAGTCCTCACCTTAAAGCATGCCTGGTCTTCTTGGGCAGAGGACATGATGTGCTGCAGAGACTGGGAAAGTGCACATCTGCTGTCTCCTTTGCCTTTAGGAATTCTGAACTTTTTCCCCAACTTTGCTTTTGTCAGTTTCACCCTTTCCAGAGTCAGTGATCCTGTGAGATTTCCCCTTTGGAGGATTCCATCAGTGAATTTGGATCCATGCAGAAGTTTCCCAGGGGGAAGGCAGCCACACACAGCAGGACTCGGATCAGAGATTAGCTTTCTTCTGTGATTCCTCCTGTTTCTCCCATTTGCAGAATCTTTCCCCAGAGCCTGGAGCGAGGCTAGGATGCTGGCTTTCCTCGTCTCTGTGTCTAGTAGCATCTTGCTGCTGGAAATAAAAGACACACAAATGCACACCAATAGCCTATTGACAAATTACCTAGTTTTAAGAGTTTAGTTGCTACAACAGCCATGGCATTTTTCATGCATATGTGTTTGTTTGGGGGGAGGAGGGGGACATAAATATAAGCCAAAAAATATGCAAAGTCTCCTCCACTAAGGAAATTAATACAATAAATATTCCTTCTCCCCAACAGTAAATAAAGAGATTAGTGCTAAAGATAACAGCAAAAGAGAGAATGAGGCTCATAAATAAATAAAAACTGCTATCAAATTTCCAAATCCTAAATGTGGGAGGTCCAGATTGAAATAAGTTAGTTAATAAATGTTGCAAAGGGAACTGTCAAATGTAGCTAATAAGAACCTGCCTCACTTATCTACTGAGAGAGATACGGAAGGAGAGCTAGAAATAAAGCATGCCTCTTTCAGTTACTAATCCGTGCTCCATTGCCCAGTTAACTCATACAAACAGACAACAGACATAGCTGGTCTTAAAAAGCTCTGATTTACATTATCCAATAAGGAAGGGAGAAAGGCGGATCTTCAGAAGTTTTGTTTCTGTTGCTTTGAAAGTTACAGCTCAGTATCCAGGGAAATGCAGTTGACAGGGATGTGATATATGGACCTTCTGAGAAGGACCCACTCCCTCACGGGAGAGTACAGCACAGTGCATTTGGAAAAAGGACTTTGAAGACTTCTGTCCACCATACGCATCGATTACGACAAACACATTTTGACTCATCATGCCCACATACCCTTCCTTACACAATAGAATTTTCATACCTAACCACATACACAAATCTACCCACTCCTACATACACATCTTTTCATCCACTTGTTTCATACACCATATATACACCTATCAGACACAGACCCATCCAAAGTAAACACCACACATGTGCACTCCCAGACACCTCACATTTACAAAAACGTATTCATTCCATAAAACACAAATATACACTCAAAAAGAAAAGGAGTACTTGTGGCACCTTAGAGACTAACAAATTTATTTGAGCATAAGCTTTCGTGAGCTACAGCTCACTTCATCGGATGAATTCAGTGGAAAATACAGTGGGGAGATTTATATACACAGAGAACATGAAACAATGGGTGTTATCATACACACTGTAAGGAGAGTGTTTCAGAGTAACAGCCGTGTTAGTCTGTATTCGCAAAAATGTGGGTCATTACACAAAGTAAAACTATTTCCCCATGTTTATTCCCCCCCCCCCCCCCGCCACTGTTCCTCAGGCGTTCTTGTCAACTGCTGGAAATGGCCCACCTTGATTATCACTACAAAAGGTTTTCTTCCCCCCCTCCCCGCTCTCCTGCTGGTATTAGCTCATCTTAAGTGATCACTCTCCTTACAGGTTTCAGAGTAACAGCCGTGTTAGTCTGTATTCGCAAAAAGAAAAGGAGTACTTGTGGCACCTTAGAGACTAACCAATTTATTTGAGCGTAAGCTTTCGTGAGCTACAGCTCACTTCATCGGATGCATACTTACAGTGTGTATGATAACACCCATTGTTTCATGTTCTCTGTGTACATAAATCTCCCCACCGTATTTTCCACTGAATGCATCCGATGAAGTGAGCTGTAGCTCACGAAAGCTTATACTCAAATAAATTGGTTAGTCTATAAGGTGCCACAAGTACTCCTTCTCTTTTTGCGAATACAGACTAACACGGCTGCTACTCTGAAACCTGTCAAATATACACTCAGAATTTTTCAGTAGTGCCTCCCCTATGGAGCTCTGCTGTAATCAAAATAGGTGGTGTCCTGTAATTTTTATAGTGAATTTTTATTTGTAAAACTATTAAAATATGACTTTAAGTAGACGGCCTGATTTTTCTCTAGAGCAGTTGGCTCTCAACCTTTCCAGACTACTGTACCCCCTTCAGGTACTGTACTATCTTACATAGCCCAAGTTCACTTCACTTAAAAACTACTTGCTTACAAAATCACACACAAAAATATAAAACTGTCACAGCACACTATTACTGAAAAAATTACTTACTTTCTCATTTTTACCATATAATTATAAAATAAATCAATTGCAATATATTGTACTTACATTTCACTGTATAGTATATAGAGCAGTATAAACAAGTCATTGTCTGTATGAAATTGTAATTTGTACTGACTGCTAGTGCTTTTTATGTAGCCTGTTGTAAAACTAGGCAAATATCTAGATGAGTTGATGTAACCCCTGGAAGACCTCTGCATACCCCTGGCTGAGAACCACTGCTATAGAGACCAATTATTTTTATTGTTTCCATTCAAAAAGCATGTATGATGGTCCTCCCCTTTTCTCTCTCACACAGACATTTCTTGATATTACAAGGAATAGCTCCCTGAACTCCAGGGATCCTGAGGGGAAAAAATATACTATGTGACTATGTAATTAAAAGCTACCATAATGCAGATGCACAAGAGGCAATTAAAATTGCACAGAAACCTAAATTCTGGCATTTCCTAACTCTCAGGGGGTTCACTTTGCAATCTAAATAATATTCTTTGAACACAGATTTGTAATGTCATGTTTTCATATATCCTTTCCAATACTTAGCAACCATTTCAACAAGGCTTTTCCAAACTGCAGTTGACACCACAGTGATAAGGAAAATTTCCACTGTACAATTTGAATTTTAATGTTGCATTTTAGCGAGACAAGGTGGGTGAGGTCTTTTATTGAACCAACGTTAGTTGGTGGGAGACAAGCTTTTGATTTATACAGAACTATTCATCAGATCTAGGAAAGGTACTCTTACCACCACAGCTAAATATAAGGTAGAACATGTTTGCAGACCTGAATAGCTCTGTGTAGCGGGAAAGCTGGTTTCTCTCACCAACAGAAGCTGGTCCAATAAGAGATACTACCTAACACACCTAGTCTCTCTCATATCCTGAGACTAACAAGGCTACAAGAATTCTGCATACAAAAGTGTTGCTTTTTGGCAGACTATAGCAGATTATGCTACTGTTACATTTCTATTGTAAGTTTCATAGCACTAGTGAAACCTAAGGATCCAGAGAAACAAGTACAGATGAAGTGAGCTGTAGCTCATGAAAGCTTATGCTCAAATAAATTGGTTAGTCTCTAAGGTGCCACAAGTCCTCCTTTTCAAGTATAGAATCATAACAGGAGGCTCACAATGAAATTAAGGCCTAGTTTTGTAAAGCCTAGCAAAAGACACATCCAGCTACTACATCCACAAACGCCCAGTAGCTGAACACCCAGGAAATGAGGATTTATATTACACCTATAGACACCCAGCATTGCAACAGCATCTGAAGCATCGGCACTGCTTTGGTAGCATAGGGAGACCACCAAGAAAGGGGAATCTCTATAGTACGCAAGACCCAAATTACACAGGGCTTTTTGGCTCACAACCAGTGCCCCAAGTGGAACCTGGAACCAGCTGGGGGCCGGTAACGCAAGGTGGAGCACACCCATCACCCACCGCACAGCCTACCACGTTACCAGCCAAGGTCCCCCACCCTGGGCCAAAGGGCGGGTGGAAATGCTGAGTATGGCGCAGCCACCCCCTCCCGCACCTCATTTTGTACAGTGGGGCCCCTCCTCGGCGCTGGGGAGGATCAGACCATGTGCTACTGTCTGATCCTCCTCAGCCCCTGACCCGTGCTCACCCTCTGCCTGCCCCGCCCCCGCAGCGCGCCCCGCCCCTTCCCTGAGGGACAGCCTCAAACAACGCCTCAAAATGGCAGCGGCTCCCCGCCCCGTGACGAGCCGGGCCGCGGCGCAGCTGACTACAACTTCCCCACGCTCCTCTCCGCCGCCAGGCGGCGCACACGCAGTAAAGTGAGAGCACGAGTGCACTCCATCCCCACAGAGCAATGGCCGACAGGCCGCGCATGCGGGTTGGAGCCGGTTTTCTGCCCCAGCACTTCCCCACAGAGTCATGGCGGCAGTGTGCTGCCGCGCATGGGCAGGAAGGCGCCCGTAGGCCTCGTCTGCTCCCCGGGTCAGTGGTGCTTGGCGCGCCGGCTCGGAGATGCCCCAGGAGCTGGCGGCGGAACGGAGGGGAGGGCTCCTGCGCTCCCGGAACACGCGCGAGCCCTCTCACGTGATCTTTTGTAATCGGAGCCCCCGGGTGGTCATCCCCATCTGGCTGGACTTCGAGGGCCAGCCCCAGCCCTACCCGGTCCTGCAGCCGGGCACCGGCCGGAGGATGTACAGCTACCTAGGTGAGGGGTGCACTCACACCTGCCGGGGGGGAACGGGCGGGGGGTGCCCCTACTAGGGTGGAGGTTGGGGGGTGCCCAGCTACCTAGGTGGGGATGGGTGGGAAGGTACCTGCCAGGGTGAGTATGGGTGGGGGGCTCAGCTACCAGGGTGGGAATGGGCACAGGGTACACTACCAGGGTGGAGTGGAGGGGAGCACAGCTCCCTAAGTGGGGACGGGCAGGGCCGTACACACCTGCCGGGGTGCGGATGAGGAAGAGGCACACCTGCCAGATTCGGGAGGTGGGGAGTACACAACTACGTAGGTGGGGACAGGCGGGGGGGTTCCTCGCCCACAAAGGTGGGGACGGGATGGGGGGCACAGTTACAAGGATGGCAATGGGTGCGGGGTGAACCTGCCAGGATGAACACGGGCGGGAGGGGTGCACAATTACCTAGATGGGGATGGGCGGGAGGGGTGCACACCCACCAGAGCGGGGACGGGCAGGAGGGTGCACACCCACCAGGGTGGGGACGGGCGGGCGAGGGGTGCACAGCTACCTAGGTGGGGACCATCGACTGGGTGCACAGCTACCAAGGTGAGGACGGGTGGGGGTTGCACACCTGCCAGGATGGAGAAGGGGAGTGGAGTGCATATCTACCAGGGTGGGGATGGGAAAGGGGTGCACCTACTAGGGTGGGGACAGGCAGGGGTGCACATCTGCCAGGGTGGGGATGGGATGGGGGGTGCACAGCTACCTGGATGGGGGAGAGCACAGCTGCCAGGGTGGAGATGGGCATGGGCTAGACCTACCAGAGTGGGGACAGGTGGGGGGTGCACACCCACCAGATGTGGGGATGGCTGGGGGGGTGCGCACGCGCCCGATGTGGGCACAGGTGGGTGGGTGCACAGCTACTTTGGGTGGGGGTGCACACTACCAAGGTTGGGATGGGTTAGGGGTGAGCTTCCGCCAGGGTGGGAATGGGCAGGGGGTGCACAGTTACTTTGGGTGGGGCGTGCGCCCGCCAGATGTGGGGACAGGTGGGAATGTGTGCCCGCCCGACGTGGGGATAGGCACAGGGGTGCACAGCTACCTAGGTTGGGGATGAGCATGGAGGTGCATGCTACCAAGGTCGGGGTGGGGACAGGCGCAGGGGTTTCTTGAAGACGGGGGTGAAATTCGTCTCTAAGGTGCCACACGAACTCCTCATTGTTTTTGCTGATACAGACTAACATTGCTACCACTCTGAAACTTGGAAAGATTTATAACAGTGGATACAAATAAAGTATCTGATTCAAAACAGCAAGTATTGCCCACCCTGCCTGTCCCAAGGCCACTGTTTTGATGTCCAAAGGGTCCGTGGTTGCCTGAGTGTGTTTGTTTAAGGAACTGGCAACAGTGTTCGCTGCTGGGAAATCCCTAGTGGACTTCAGTTCAGACATCTATTTGAAAGCCACTGGCAGGCACACAAGCCACAAGAAGAATTGAAGTAGTTACTAATTCCAGAGCTCAATTTCATTTTAAAATAAGTTACCTTCCTCATATTTGTATACAATTGAAAGATAACATTCAAAACAATTTGAAATATAGCTCCTTTGTTATATTTAATCTCTGTTTTGTTGTAGAACATCTTTGGCTGTTCAGAGATGCAGAAACAGATGATGGACTTCTTGTCAATCAGACAGAGCTGTTTGTGCCTACTCGCAATGTGAATGGCCAGCCCATATTTGCAAATATCATGCTTCCAGGTACAATTATATAGAGTGTTAAATCTGCTAGAATT